TGAGTTAAGTGGTCTCAATACGTTAAACCGTCAGTGAAATAACCTTTTAACTCGTCTACCAATATGAATTAATTCGGCTGAAATATGCCCTAATTTAAAACTTTATTGTAAATGCATAAGTAAATAGAAGAACTTTATTTTTTTAATTAATTATCGCAACAAAACGGCCACAATTCATCCTTTTAGAACGGGATGGTGCTATACTGTGGTCTTTCAAAATATCCTGAGAATGATTCTTTCCTTTGAGGCAAAATATGCCTGTCGATAAGAACTTGTTGATTATAATTGATTTCACCTATCAACAACATCTCTTGAATTGGGCCTTTCTTCAGGGAAAATCCCCACCTTACCACCCCTCCTGTTATTCACAATTAACAACTGCTGTTGGCACATCACCGGATGGGGAATGATATGCATCCTTCTGATTTTGGCAAGGGGATGTTGACCTTTTGACCTTTCTCGTTATTTCGCCTCGTTCACGTGACCTGGTTTGATATTCTCCCTGAAAATATTATAACTTGTAACTTAAACTGACCCCAATCTGATATTGCTATAAAATTCATGATTATCACTTTAACTTTGATTTGTTACTTCACCTCCTTCTAATCTGACACATTAGTTCTTGTCTTCCAAAATTTTCCCAATGCCTAACATGGCCTGACAAGTAATCGCATTCGCACAGCCAGCCGTTAGAACACACCTGTCTAAGAGACAGTGTTCCCTCACCTTCCCCACTATTACCACCCTTTCCCGAAAATACTTCGAAATCTATTGTTCCAACGCCTATTCCACCTCGACCCCAACACCGTTACACTCATTGTGGCCGAAGAGTTACCATCCCCTCCCGACTGGTTAATTTTGTACATTAACCATTCTTTTTATTTTAGCTATCTACAAACAAACTTGAAGGGAGTGGGGGGGACATTGTGGGACACGTCATCGCCTAACAAGCAATCGCATGCGCACAGCCAATGGTCAATGAAAAGGGTGTTTGAGCAGGTCAAATGAATTGTTTCTCGGAAGCTTCGTTACTATACCTCGGCAGTGAGTTCAGATGCTGCCTGGTAAAGCGACCTTGGCGTGTATAAACCAGGTTGTCCGCTTTGTAATGCTCTTTTATTTGAGCATGTTTCAAACTGTATGAACCAGATTTCGGGACATTCGGGGTCGATAGTAGGATAACCCGAAGTGAAGCCACATGTGTTTGCATCTAAATCTGCTTCTTTGGACATGCTGTGGGACGGTAGTGGACGGAAGAAGAGTCCCATTATTTTCAATCTCATTCTCAGCCGAGCCTATCATCTGGTTCTAATGACTCCAGAATTATAAAGAAGACGACCGTTATCACACCATTCGGTTTGCTTCGGGTTCTCTTAGTTTTAATCATGGCCAGAAAGTCAGCACTGGAATTCACTTGTTCGGCTCTTGTCGATGTAGAGATTACGGACCTTTCCCTTTCTGACACCAAAGACAAATATGTTAGCCTTTTCTTCTACCCTATGGATTTCACTTTCGTATGCCCAACTGAAATCATTACTTTCAACGACTGTACTAAAGAATTCGCTGAAAAGGACTGTCAACTTTTGGCTTGTTCAACTGATTCATGGTTGGAACAATGTGAGCCGAAGTGATGGTGGTATCCGAGGAATACACACTTATTCCACGACACGCTTCTTGAATAAACGTGTTCTATTTAATGTGCCTCATACCTCCATCGCTTCGCTGTAGCTCATCTAGTTCAGAGGAGGGGGTCCAACCAAAAGGAGGGGTTCCTGCCACAGAGATTTCTGAGTTAGTCAAGGCTTTACTAGTGTCACAATTCGCTATATGGTATGAGAAATGTCACTAGTTGTTCAAATAAAATGATATTTCTGTTCCTGGGGTGTGTGATAGACTTACCTCCACGTGGTGCACACTGGGCAACGTATACTCATACGGCAAAAAAGTCTATTACCTGGCAGTTGACTTCAAACTACCATAACCCCACTATATGTCATATTCGACTACTTTCACAGTACTCATCTCACCTTTTTTCAACCTTATCTACCTTCGTCTTTGATACACTCTTCTGTTCCCCCCCCCCTCTTGAATTTTTTACACTTTGATGTTCCTTCCCCTCTGTGAAGACTGAAGTCAACTAAAGGGCTAATGATAACAGTCAAAACGCCTGCCATTTGATATAATAATAATAATAATATTTCTGTTCCTTTGATTCACATAAACTCTGACTTCGCATTCATTTAATCCAGTAAATTGTTCTAATAAAATTCCAAGCCACCAATGGAAATCTGTTATTAACCTAAACAGTCTACTTGAAACGATTTTTGAAGGCCAATTGTATCAATCCTTCGGGAAATTTATTTATTTATTTCAAATAGCATGCGTTTTGATAGTTATCATTAGCCATTTAGATGACTTTGGGTTTCACAGAGAGGAGGGGGAACACCAAAGTGACAAAAAGTCGGGTAAGGGGACAGAATAATGATTCACAGATGTGAAAGAGTCAGTCAGACACAAAGGTAGAGAAAAGATAAAATGAGTACTGTGAAAGTGGTCGAATATGACATACAGTGGGCGAGTACTGTGAAAGTGGTCGAATATGACATACAGTGGGGTAATGGCAGTTTGAAGTTAAAAGTCAACTGCCATTTAGTAGGTTTTTTTGCCGTATAGCATACGTTGCCCAGGGTGCACCACGTGGAGATAAGTCTATCCCACACCCCTCATTCGGGAAATCAATTTTGCCCAATCGAGGGGTATGAAAGATATCTTGAATTTTTTGTTATTTTGACAAATGGCGCATCATCTGTCAGTTGTCATGGTAATTTTCGGCATAGAGATAGGGATGGTGCTTAGAAGACGGCAGTTAAATCACCAGACTGCGAAAGTACTGTAACGTTGGATATGTGAATTTGTTAAATTAATGCAACAGTTATCTGAAGGAATAATGAAATGGAAAGTTCTTAACGCTAAAGCAACCCCCGATTATCGGCACTTGTACTCTGAGAAGGCACAGCTATTCATGCTGAGAATCTGATAACTCTACTGCGATTTCAATCTTCACCTAGTCACAATTGAATCAAATGGAGTATTTTAAAGAAATGAGTTTTAAGTCATTGACATTTATTTAATAAAAATCATATTTGAAAAATTACATAATTATGAGCGTATAAACCTCCCCGAACGTTCCTGCTTTGAACATTATCATTATACCATCTATTTAACAGGAACTTGTCATTATAAATAAGTACTTCAATTTATTGTGATATGGTTCAACCTTCAGCTTAAGGAAATCTTCACTGCACTTGGGACGAAAAAAGAAGGCAGATGCAAACACAAATGTTCTCTTATTTATTCACCAAGCCTTCCCCGAAGGAACCTTCTTGGATATACAATTAGTATATACGGTAGATCGATAAATGGGTGGAACGGTAGATTAATAAAATCCCAAATCAACTCGATAGCCAATAGGCAATACGCCTCAGACCATAGTCATATGACATTGTAGATATCCGTATCACCAACAAATCATCGTTATACGTACCGCTGTACAGTCGAATGTCCATTTTGAATGGTTCCTATTCCCTTTAATTTCATATAACTGGACATTAACATGATGATTGGTAAGGCAAGTCCTGATTAAACATTCGCTTACATTTGAATATTTTTGAATCATCGCAAACGCATTACTTCCTATGACAATAGTAATACTAATTTTGATTAGTGAAGCATAAATCTCTGTAATTCCCGTAACATTTCTTCAGTCATGCTAGTTATGGTCGTGGATTAGTCAGAAATTGGTAGAATGAAATCTTCTCGAGCGAGAAAACTGTCCCTTCCACAGCCAGTCGATGGAACCTTCTTCCGTTAATTATTTATATATATGTTGACAACTTCGAGGATAAGCTTTTGGTGTGACTAGACCCGGTTGTAACCTTGACGAATAATTGGTGAAAATTTAGCGATTGAAGATTGATAACTCAAAAATTGCCATTATTAAGGAATTGCTTTATATTTTTTTGATGAAATTTAACAATCACAAGCACTCTAAACCCAGTTCGATAGATTCGTTTTAATTGGTCAATTCCCACTGCTACCGCACTAATTGTATGATTTGACTCAAAATATTCAAGACTTATTGGACTCTATATTTGTTCTAGAAATTTCTTTTCGATAAGCTCTCATATCGTACTATTTTACAGTTCCATTGGCTGAGGCAATTTAGCATGCCCTAAATTGTCAATACTTTTGTGTGTAATGGAGAAGCACAAATGATTTATAATTTCTTGCCTTGGAGAAATTCTTAATCCCCCCCCCTTGATTAATAAATCAACCAGCACCAGATTATTCTTTGTACCCTTCCTTCCAGCAACTAGAAGCAAGTCGCCTGGCTTCAAGTCTACAACGACTGTGTGTAGACTAAAAGGGGGCAACTTGCATAAATGAACTTTATAAATGCCACATCGGCACTGCTATTAACTTATATTAAGCGGTACACTCTTCAACTCCAATAGAGTCAAATACTTCAAAAGCAAATAGACTCCTAGTGGTCTGCTCTGAATTTATGAAACAAACCTATTTCACACTGTCTGTGGTTAAATGTTCACTGGACGAAATTTTGCCTAAAGGTAATCAAAATATTGTACGTATCTTCGCATAACACTAATTCAATCCACGCACACAAACGAATCCCCAATCCCTCAAATTCTCAATCTTATATATTCGAAGTTGTTAAATAATTTCAACTCAATTTTCTAGACTAAACTACCAATGAATCCCCCTACTAACAACGTTCAAAATAACTCCAAATGGAATGACAAAAAAAGGAAAAATCACATAGAATACAAACCTTTACATAATCAAAACAAATTTTACGCACACGGGAAAAGTGTCCGTCAAAACGACTTCATGTCAACTATAGAAAAGGAATAGTTTTGGGATAAGCGTAAGGAATAATTAAATGAATTCACATACAAAGAGAGTGCTACGAGAAAAGTAATCTAAACATTCGAAGATTTGTATTCGTTCGTATTTTGTGGAGACGAAGGAGTGTTTTGCGACGAAGGCTGTGGAGGCACATTTTGTGGAGTATGAGGTGTCGATTGATGGATTGGAGGAGGATTTTGAGGCATAGGAATCTTTCCACTAGCAGCAGGCATGTAGTCCGGTAAATCTGGGTAGGGTGAGGTTATATTGACCCTCTGCAATCCATCATTTTCGGGATATGGTGGCACCTCCCTTGGTGGTGCAGTAGGCAAAGGCCTATGTTTCGCAGCGGCATAACCACCTGGTTGGAGCCTAGTGCTCATGAAATCATTCTCATTCCCCGTAACAATTGGGTAGGAAGCATAGTCTACACCCTGGTTATCATTATATTCACTGGGACGGCCTGCGGAGTGCACACGACCTCTGAAATCCTTTCCATAGAATTGTTTTCTGTAGTTACCAAAAAGACAGCAGACAATCTCTACAGTGATCAGATCGCCGGCATTCATCGACAACATTCTCAACAAGAAATGACCATCCTGACGAAGGAATTCATTGATGAATCGATCGATTAGTTCTTTGAGCTCCTGATTATCTCTATCATAAACATCGGCCATGCGAAGAAAACGTTTAATAAAGTGTCTCTTGCGGAAAGTAGAGATTCTGTAGATCCAAAGAGGAATACTCAACAGTTGAACAATCATGACAGCGCCCAAGAAGAAGTAGAGGAAAACGTAGATCTTTTCATTCAGCATATTAATGGGAAGAACGCACTGGGCAAACAAGTTGTTTCCAGCAGCAACGTGTTGAAGAGTGTGTCTGCAAACACCAATGCGTGGGAAGACCAAAGTTTCAGTCCAAGGTTTGCCTCTTCGAATATCATCCAAAATTCGGAAGCCAAAAAAGAAGTAGCCTTCTTTCTTGTCAAAGCGAAGGAAAGCGTACATTAGATAGAGTTGACCAAGTCCAATCAGAACATAGAGAATTTTCACAATGAGATAATAGTAGATGAGGTTATTTCCATGTCTCTTGCCAGGCAGTGATTGCACAAATCTAATAATTGGCCCATCTTTGCGCTCGTGATACTCACGGCGGTTGAATAGTAGCAATTCCAAGCTCTTCGCCATATGTCGAACTGCCTTTTCACGCTTTTCACCCTCATCTTTAACCGCACTGTTTGCTGTTCTGATTAGATTTTGCAAATCAGTTCCTGTTCTGTTGAATGTAAATACACTCCAGATTATTCTGGGCAGATAATAGATAATTGCTTGTAGACCGAGGACAAGTGGTACCCATTGGTAGTAATCTTAATGAAAGGGAAAAATAAATTTTATATTAGTTAACATACATATATATACATAAATATATATAAGTGAGAGATTCAGTACTATATACCAATATAACTTGGCCAATAAAATGAAGTCTTGCAAAATATATAAGTATAGATTGTAGAAATGTGGGATCAGTAGCCATTTTCGGCCATGAGGTCACCACATCGAAGGTACCAATTAAAATGCTGGCTCAATATGCACACACACACACACACCCTAAGGACAATATGAGTCATCGGTTGGGGGTTTAAACCAGCAATGTAGATGCATTAGTGGCTTGGGAATTCTGTGATTACTAGTTCACTGAATAAAGTTGTCAGACACAAAAAGTAGAGCATCTACAAACAACAATCAACCCTATAATCTGCCTAATTAGTGGAAGCACCAAAATGCTTGCACAATCACAGCCCAAAATAAAATGAGCAAAACTTACTCATAATCTTGGGGCTAGTAGAGCTCCATTCTTCGATTTCATGAGGAACGACACCAGAAGTGAGATTTATGGGAAAGGTACCCTCCACCCAGCACAGATTTGTGACATACGACTCAGCATTCCCTCCACTGACAGTTGTAGGCAGATAGCAGACAAGAGGGGCCATGAAATACTGCCTAACCGTCACAAGGAGCATGCAGAGAAGGAGAACGATAACATTCCATTGAAAATTCGCGCGATCTGCTAAGTCTTCAAGACCGACATAGGTTGTCGCTGAAAACGAATTAATGTAACCCAAGAACTCTGTCGCAACCATCTTGGAGTTTTAACCTAAGGGAGGAGAAGGAAATAATTAGTACTTTGAACAAGTAAAACCACAAACTCAAGTGAAAATGCCAACCCACGTGATACGTCCATGACGTTGATGAATATTAAAACAAATGAAACAAATAAGGAGAAAATAGGGCTAGATGAATATAATAGTTTACCTAGAAAAGCTGATGCTAAACGAAGCGATATATGCCTAAAGTAATAAAGGTGCAAATAAATCTAAATTGTGATATTGAATATAAGTAGGTCTCAAATAAGCTCTATCCAGAATTTTAAGAGAAAAACTTCATTAGGGAAAAACGGATTTAAAAGGACTGCGGGAATGCACTCACAGGAATACCGACCCAAACACCAGAGCAGCTTCCGATAAAATGAAGCAGGCAAATCATGATGGTGACCTAAAAGGTTGTTACTTCAATGCTATTGGTTGATTCCATTCGATTTTGATTGGTTAGCTAACTATGGCACATACGCACCGCCATCCATGGGGTTAGTCACTCGCTGGCCAAATTGACCTCGTTTATGACATGTGATGTACAAGCTTTTCAGCCTCCTTTTTCGATGGCCTATGAATGGAATGTGACCGCATTAAAGTGAATAAGAAAATACAAACCGAAATTAATTACATCTTGAATAAAATGCGCCAGATTTGTTGCCCTAAGATAAATGCTTAGACTGAAAGTAGTAACCAACTAAGTAGGCAGAATTAGACTCTACTCATAACGTCTTCAGAGGCGGTTTTAATTGACCATTTTCACTACTAATTTTGCACAAACCAGGAAAAAAAATTCCACTTAATTTATGCTCATTGCAGGATTTTTATTCAATGTCGTTTGAAATAATGCACACTATCCACGACCTGGCATTGGTTAAATAAAATGATTTCCACTCAAAAAACGTTGTGAGTTAAGACTACATGAATTCATTGAATATTATTCAGCAAGAACTAATAGTAATTGGGTAGAATCAAGAACATAATTCCCTTAACAATGCCATTCAAAACTAGCCATTATAACCTTAAAGCGAATTTGTATGTTCTATTAAATTTTGTCACAAAAGATGTTTCAATATCAGCTTTATACAAGCACTGATAAGTGGTTTTAAGCAAAAACTCTTCAGGCAAACTTGAAATTTACTTGTTAACCTGTTGAAGTCAATTCGAGTTTCCCTGTCCTAGGCGTTGTAAACAATCCAACTTGTGAACCTGTATGCGATTAGTTCGATTTTGCGAGAAAAGGTAAATAGTTAAATCAATTTTTTTACATTGTTGCATGTCGTGTTCTCTTGTAATTTTTGGACCAAAGCCCAATGAGATACAAGTAGTTTATACAAAAGCTACTCTTCCCTACAGCCGCATAAAAGTAAGTTGAAAGCCCAAGCCCTTCAAGGAAGATTAAAGCAGATAAGGAGTTAGGGGTTCCGTTTTGTCATTTGACTTTCAGAATTGTAGCCGTGCTCTTTTCCCCTCTTAATTGACTTCCGGTGATTTTGAAAATATACGTTTAAGGTTTACGGGATTTTATTAACACCAACATACCCAGTTATTTAGGGAGTTTAAAAAACTAGGCCTTTTGGAAAATTGTATATATATATATATATATATATATATATGTATATATCCGTAAGTGTAAGGTTATGATCAAAAAATCAATTAAGTACCCTTTGCGTCCAAAAGTTGTCTCGGCACATTCTAATTTTTATTGACCTCGTAGTTGCCTATTCGTCAACTCCACTAGAAAATTCGATGACCTTGTTTAAATTCTTCGGCAACTGTTCTTTTACCAGATCCGAAACTTACCCGTGGCATTTATCTCACCAGTTTATATCAAAGCTAATCTACATTTTCTCGATTTTTTCTTGTTCAAAGGAGTATCTGACCTCATATACCCGCCTTTGGCCACAGAAGGAAAAAAACAATCCAGTTGGTTGGAACAAAAACGGAACCACTTGGATCGCACAACAGACTCGGCATATGGTGGACAAAATTCGGGGGTGATCGGTCTTTAAGAGTTCAACTTTAGGACACCATTAACTGAACTCTTCTCCTTAAGAGAATATTGAAAACTCGATACTTCTAGATTCAAATTCAGAAGCACTTACAGTGGCCCAATTTAATTATGCCCTTCTATTGAACAGCTGCTTTCCCGTTTCTCACATTATTGAACCTGCTTGATAATTTATGATAATAATTATGATATTTTTTCTAATTTCATGGCCGGTAATAATAATTATTATTATGATTTCGTCATAGATACTAGTCAGTATTAGCAACCAAAATGTACTAACGTTAATGATATAAATTATTACCATTATCTTTTGCCTAGAAGCAAACTGTGATTGTCTAATTTATCTCTTAATCATAGGCTAAGTACGAACTTATTACAATTGACCTTAAATTTGGCAGACTTAAAAGCTAGCTTTTATTACTCTCGAGTTGGTGATAAATCACACTGAGTGCGATTTTAATATTTCCAATTATTAGCAAGGTCAATTGACCTTAAATAAAAGTATTTGACCTTCGAGTAGTAAAGAGTACCGCAACAAGCAAAAGTTCGCACCAAAGGAGCAAGAACAACAACCCTCATTGGGCAGCGACTAAGAGACAAAAATAGGAACTTTAGAAGTGCTTTGAAGATAACTGCAGCGCTTGTAATGTCTAGATGGGGGGGGGGGGGGGGGTGGGAGTATGATTTTTTCCCACTTGTCTAAGTAGCAATAAATCGATTTAATTGGTATAGTCGCTAATTCCTTTGGGGCGGTAGAGCAGCAAAGCCAGGGAGATTACTGGTCCGATGGTGTATACCTAGTAATCGGAATTCTCAGCAGCCCTGATGAAGTCTAGCTAATAAATCGGGAAACTGAAACCGGGTTTTTTACCAGGGAGGAACTAATATAATCATTGGAAAAGGCTGGTTGTGCATCATTCCTCTTGTATATTGTCATGCGACCGCTTAAACACGCCATTATTTTCACCTTTTCCGGTCATATAAGAGCTAACATATTTATTTATTAACAGTCTAGAAGCATTGAATTGGCACGATTGAACTCTTGGTTCAATTAACTACATAGTACTTTTTGAAACCAGTGAGATTACAAATATTTTCTGAACTTTGGAGAAAGCTATGTCCTAATAAGTCTTACTGGACCCCTTAAATGTACAATAAAACAAAAAGAATTCAGGATATTTAGAGCAGCACGTTTCTTATAAGAGCCTATTAATTTTGACCTCAACGTCTCACATCGTCCATCCCATTTACCCTAGAGTCTATGTGCATGCCTTTCCCAGTCATCAGCAATAGCAATGCTACTAGGAGAACTCACAGTGTCTGTAGTGTAAAAAATAGGACTTTGATGCAAAATTTATCCCAAACCCCTTATGTAATTATATTATTATATGTAAGTAAAAATGCATGCAATGCCATGGACAATAACATTAATAATAGAGAGGAAATTGCTATTCCTTTAATTTTACTTGTGGGTCCAAAACACAGACATATAATAATCTTGTAATAACAGAAACTACTTGTCTGGTCACTAGGATCAACCGGAATAAAACTGTGGGGGGGGGGGAGGGGCAAAATGCTATCATGACAAAAAAAGTTGCCCTTGGGGCCGCTTATTCCTTGGTCATCACGCGCAAGGTGGTGGCATTCCCACTTGGGAGCAAATGAGGCCACAAGTGCAGCGACCTCTAAGCCAATCAGCAAACTATTAGTCACGGCATGGTCAGCGTAGCCGAAATAGAACTTAATGCCTGGGGTGTGCGATAGACTTACCTCCACGTGGTGCAGCCTGCGCAACGTATTCTCATACGGCAGTTGACTTCTTACTTTAAACTACCATCACCCCACTCTATCTCATATTCCACTACTTCCACAGTTATCACCTCACCTTTTTTCCATCTTTGTGTCTGTTTCTTCAACATCTATGAAACACTCTTCTCTTCCTCCCCCCCCCTCTCGACTTTTTTACACTTTGATTTTCCGTCCCCTCTGTGAAGCCCGAAGTCAACTAAGGGCTAATGATAACTATCAAAACGCATTCCATTTGATATAAATCAATGTTCTCAGAATACTAGGTCATGATATAGGAACTAGCCATTACGTAATAAGCATTTTTACGCTCCATGTTAGTCTTTCATTTTATTCCCAATGCAAATTTTAAGTTATTTGTGGCTTATTTGGATTAGAAATTGGTTTTTGTGGTGACCACCTTGAGTGAACACTGCATTTATGCCATCTAAATGGCAAACAGAAATGAAGACTGAAATAAGACACAACAGGTTATTTTTTAAATTATAGCAATTTTTCGACTTCAAACAAGTAAAAGTTGAATTCGGAAATATGTAACCATTAAACAATTGAAACGTCAAGGGAATTTAAATCATCATTCATGCAAATCAGCGCAATTATAACCCTTAAAATAGGACTAAAGGAGTTTACAACAAAATAGTGCAAATTTATTGAATTATTTTAAAAAAACATTGAGTGACAAATCATGTTGATCCAATGGAATTATAGGATGGAAGAATATATTTATTTCAAATGTCAGGCGTTTTGATAGTTATCATTAGCCATTTAGCTGACTTCGAGCTTCACAGAGAGGAGGGGGACAGAATAACGATTCACGGATGTAACAGACAGACAAAAAGGCAGAGAAAAGGTAAGATGAGTACTGCGAAAGGGGTCGAATATAACATAGTGGGGTGATGGTAGTTTAAAATCAGAAGTCAACTGCCAGTTAAAAGACTTTTTGTGCCATATGAGCATACGTTGCCTAGGGTGCACCACATGGAGGTAAGTCTATCGCACACCCCCGAATGGAAGAATATGGTCTTTAAAGTTCACTGTTCTTACGCACCTATTGCTTGCAAAGCTTCCATGGCATCCATTTACTCAGTTGGATTTTTAAGGCGTTAATTCGTGTGCTTAAGCTCAGTTTAATTTCGAGGTTCTTCAATATATGCGCGAATTGGCAAGATATTGATTCGTAGAGGCAACCAAGAATTTTGTAGCATGCATCAAAAAGGTCATTATTCAAGGGAAACCAGCATCAATACAAATGTAGAAAAGAGGGAGGGGAAGGGGAGGGGGTATCGCTATTTATTAATTTGAATCTCGAAATGAAAAGCCCTCTGAGTGATGCATCGTCCGCGGAGCATGACGCCGAGCAGGAAGCCCAGTTCTACCTCTAGCTAACGTTAATTGGGGGCCCACATAGGGATTTGCAATGTTTTCTTCTTTCTCAGACTCAGGATGGGACAATGAGGCCTCCGAGAGTGGCTATAATAGGCAAAAACAATATCACACTATTAAATACCAACGCGCACTGCTACTTAAATTATTTTAGTAGACACTTTACATACACGTACATATTCGGTGAAGAATGTTTGGGGTAGGTCTACCCTCCCCCTTACTAATGCGTTGACATTGCCAAGTTCTTCTTGTGATAAACCAGTTACTAGGTAAACAACACCTGCTGATGGATCAATGGCTCTCACGACAGCTGAAAAAGAAAAAGAAATCGCTCAAACTTCTAAACTGCAACAGGTATCTTAAAGTTTAACGAATTTGAGAGCTGACCTAAACCAATGAATTCACAACAAGGATCACAAGAAAGCACACTCAAGCCTCCAAAGCCAGAAGGACGAAAGACCTGAAAGTAGATAAAACAATTGTGAAGAAATTAAACATATAAACGAGAGAGAAAGTGAGAAATGTAGTAAAAAAATTATTGGACTCTGAAGCCTTTAAAACACTTTTGGCAGTATATATTACATATCGGCTCTTAGCTTAAGAAGATACACAACAATTCTAAATTGTATGACCAGACACCCAAGTTAACCCTTAACGCCTTTCAGGATTGTATACGATCCTCTTTCAAGTAAACTCATTGGTAGTAGACTAGTAGAAGGAAGGAAAACGGGGAATAATTTATAGAAGACGAAATAAGTCAGACGTGAAAGGGTTGAATAATCAATAAGCAAGCTCTGGGTATCGCAGACGTGAACGCACTCAGAAATCAAGGGGTTGAAAATGGAATTTAAACATCTTTGTAATTACCCAGGCCTGAAACAAAAGATAATGGCATAGAGGTCAGTGGAAGAGCGTCGAGGAACGTAATTTCCAAGATCCATCAAATGAGAATAGTAATCAGTGGAACCATCGTCCAAGTAGGGAGCTCTTTTCAAGCAATCCAACATCAGCCTCTGGATAAATGCAATGTGAACAAGATAAAAGAAGTTTCGGACTCGACATCAAATTGAAAGTGATATCGAGCGCTTTTTCCAAGGAGGCATCTACTGTCTAAGGTCCATTTGTGTTAAACGTTGAGTTGACACTTGACGATAACTGCTGTGAATAGTCCTGAAGAATGGCATTTTCAATCAAAACAAAGTGTCTATTCCTCAGACTTATTTTTGTAATGTAATCAGTTTGTGGAGTTAAATGAAAGGTTCACCACAAAGTCTATATCAAATGGCAGGCGTTTTGATAACTATCATTAGCTCTTTAGTTGACTTCAGGCTTCACAGAGAGGAAGGAACATCAAAGTGAAAAAAGTCGAGAGGGGGGGGGGAGGTAACAGAAGAGTGTTTCAAAGACGTAAAAGAAACAGACACAAAGGTACAAAAAATGTGATTTGAGTACTGTGGAAGTGGTAAAACATGGCATACAGTAGGGTTAAGGTAGATTGAAGTCAGAAGTTAACTACCGGTTAATAGACTCTTTTGCCTTATGAGTATACGTTGTACTAAGTGGAGGTAAGTCTATCGCACACCCCGGTTCACCACAAAGTAACATCTGCCAAAAGTGATGTCCAGAAAATGATTGTTAAAAGTAGGCCACATCAAATGTAACCGTGTACACGCGACATGCCTACCAGAAAGCTTTCAATACGTCCACGTGACTCTGCTAAGAATTCCACGAAAATTAATCAGACGCCTATCTTCCCACCTAAAAATTAAGTGGACATCATGCAGAACTTGTTAAAGCTGTTGCGCATATGCTAGAGAACGAAGTAATGGAGAGTGTAAACATTACAACCTACGGAGACTGTGCGAAACGCTAATGAGGAGTTTAAGATGACCACTCGCAATACGATTTCAGTAATGAAACCAAATGCGCTGGCAAAAGTTTCCCAAAGCATTCTGAGTTGAGTATCAAAACTTGCTGTGAAATATTGGAAGCTAAGTAGGCTGTTTTCTGTAATATTCTGTACTGACTACTTTTAAATATAAGTATAATGCTAACACGCAATTAAAGTAACACTGGCATACTATTAATCCAACCAATACTTTGTTTTAGTCAACTTCAACCGAAAAAAAGGAAAATTCTCCGAACCAAGAAATAAAATAAAAAAATCGGCAAGAGGAATGCAAGCATATGGTACTGAACCAGTGACAATACACCTATGTTTATTCATTTAAAAACGTTTAATTAAGGATTTATTAAAATTCCGTGAGTTGCTTATGATTGACTGTCTCATGTCTGACGCTTGCCAGAACTAGCAAGACCAGCACATTTTATGACACTGGCCCCTTTGATTCCGCCTTATAAACAGACGGGTTTATAAAAAAAACTCTTAGACCACATTTTCCACTAGGCTAATAACAAAACTGATAACGTACAATTCTCTCATCGACAGAACAGAGCGCGACGAGAGTACCATTGAGACAGCGTAAGGCGACTGGTAGAGTGTAAATAGGCAAAGTTGTCAAAGCGTCCAGCGATTGATGTAGAAGGTGTATCGCTATCGATCCCGGGATAGAAGGATCTGCAGTATTGACGAGAGGCACACGATAGGGTAAGCAGTCAAGTAAGTGGGCTGTTGGATGGCCCAAGGAGGTGTTACCACGACCACGAGGCCCTGAACCCGGTAAACTGGTTGGAGCATCTACGATACCGGTGAGGAGATGAGCAAGGAGGGTTAGATCACGGTGGACTTGTGCGGAAGTGAAACCACCTGGTCCACTGAAGCAAAGAGGGTAAAAGGTAAATAAAAAAACGGAGAAAAATGAACAAAGTTAGTTGCAATGTTGAATAGGTCAATAAATAATTCACGAATTTATTACAATTCACTCAACATTGAGAAATCAATTACCAAGATAACAAAACTATGCAAAGAATCAATGTTTTTTCCTTACGATATTAACAGTTTTATTTATTTTATCTATGTGAAAGCAATACTCGTTCCCCGAGAACCACTCGGAGAGAAAATCATCGAAATTTCGTAAGTGCTTCAGATTTCTAACAAAGACTGGGAATGCTGTCGAGGGCTGGATTGGTTATGTAACCAGTGGGGGAAATGGAACTGCGTGCGAATGAAGCGAAATTTTCATCTATAGAAGAGGCAAATTATACTACTTAAAGTAGGAATAGAAAACGATTGAGGAAATTATTAGTAGGAAATGCATTATATTAAAAATATGCATATGTTCGTTAACAAGTAAGGTATTGACTTTCAATCCATTTAGGGAAGCATAATAAAGTCAGGCTAAAATTAAACTAGATTCCGTCTGCTTCAATCAACCTAGGTGGTCGGCCAATCCTATTACTGGGTGAGGACAGATGGACAACAAACCATGATTGCTGTGCTACCCGCAAAATAAAGGACGATTTGCCGGTGAAATCTAGAGTAAAGGCGTCCACAAAATGGAAAGTTGCTAAACCACAGGAAAAAACATTCGGCTAAACGGAAATTATCCGCGCAGACCCTTGGAACCATCAACTTTTGTCATAATTAATCATTCCTAAAATTAACATAGTTGTTAAAATGGCTTAGTTGCAGGATCTTTGAAATATATATGATCTGGGAGTAAGGCCAATATTTCAAGTTTATTGAGTTCTACACACGTGGTGGGGCAAAACAAATGATTGTAAACATAACCCCTCTTTGTCCCACTTTAACCTCAGACCTGTTAGGCGCAACTAATGGTAAGATCATATTCGAAAGAGTCTGAGGTCATACTCACAAAGTCTGCTACAATTAGCATCATCAGTAACTATTCACAACAGGTTACAGACAATCAGGGCGTACCAAAAGTCAGTATGTTCAAATGCTAGAAGAGTTCAGCAGGAGACAAGGAACTTTTAACGAACGTGTAAATAGTAACTCACCTCCTGCTCATTGATGGAATGCCCACTATTCTATGATCAAATGTTTCATCGGATAAGTCCTGAAGAAAGAAAATTGGCTCATATTAGTTTTAATACAAGAATTTGTTCGTTAAAATGATTGGAAAATAAATTACTAGAAACTTACACTACGACTCCAACAGCTGGATTTGCATAAATATTCTGGAGTAAAATTAGGGAGATTAAAACGAGTATTTCCCCTTTGAGAAGGCACATAAAGTTGAACGACAACATTCGGTTTCGTCATCACAACTTGTTCCAAGAGCAACGTCAATCCAAGACCTTAAGGGGATGAGTATGGTCAATTCAGCTTTACCCTTTGTCCAGCCCATTGTATTAATAACAAGGGGTATTTGGCCTTGGACTTCTTGGAATGCTTCAAAGACATACCGCAAACAATTCACATAGAAACTGGGATTAACAGAGGGAGAAGTTCCACCAAAGAAGCATTGTCTATCAAAAATTATTAAATATTTATCTCAAAAAACTTATATCCTACCGTTTGGGTTTATATAGACCATTAAGGGGGTGCGTAAATGGGGGACCGAGGATAAAATTCTTGACAATAGTAAAACCTAGGACACCAGGAGGAGTAAATTCAGTCTGGCCGGGATCACAATCCAAAAAAGCCACAGCTTCATGCGTGTGCAAGAAATGATTGACTAAGCGCCGTAATAAAGAAGATTTTCCCGTATTTGTGGGACCACAAACGATAATTTTTGACCCCCGGGTTTCTTGAAAATCAGAAAGTGATTGAAAAAGATCCAATAACTCTGAAGATTCAGCATAGGCCCTGCCATCTGAATCAGATTGAAATGAATACGTCTCACCAGTGATCGAAACTTTATTAGAATATTGGGAATTTAAGGAAAACAACGACTGAAATTGCGGCATTTGTTGAATTGAATCAATCACGGGCGACTCCAAAGACCGAAGTACTAGAGCGACAGCAAATCTGGAAAAATCGATGGACTTAAAAGGAGGACATTCTGATAAGCGCTGCAAATGATCAGATGATATACTGAAGAGTTCTGATATCTGGGAAAATATGTTGCTTATGTTGAGGTCGGACAGTGGGCTACAAGAAGGAATTTTAAGATCACTCGGAGTGTGAGTGGAGGGAGAGTAAACGCTGAACGAAACACGCTCGTAACGACAAAGATCAGCACCACATAAACGAAGATTAGTAGCTCTAAGAACAGTCAGCTTTGATCTACCAAAAATAAGCCAGCTTGAATCAGGCGATAATAAGCAAATCCAAATAATTGGGCGATCATTAACTCTAATAAAAACGGAAGTATTGACAAACTGAAATACTCCGCTTGGATCATTGTAATCCAAAGGCATGATTGAAGATTTTCAAAGCGTTCGCCAATGTCCTTGATTATCATCCAAGCGAATAGACGGTCTTAGAAAGGACAACTACCTTTCTTTCCTAATATTGAGGACTGCTTTACGATTAACCAAAAGCTTAAGGATCAGATACATTATAATTTGTTCGTTAATAATAAATTTTTAATTTGCTTATTTTTATTGTAAAGGTCTATTTAGTAAAACAAATGTATGACAATGTTTATAAGTTTATATGATTAGAGTTATATTACCTTCATTATTACGGAAATTTATGAACGTTAATAGATTGCATTCAGAGAATGCTCAAGTATCATCGTGTCTAACATAGCCGCAGTTGATATTGACTCATATTTAGCCATTTTTTTTAAAGATTTATTATTATGAGTATGAATTAAGAAATCAACCAACTTTAGTATCATTCACATTATAAAAAGGATACGTTGAGCACGAACTAAGCATAACTTAAGCCTTAAACGGAACACGTATTCTCTTTTATTTCAGATACGGGATCACTTAAAACACTTAGCATTTCCAGAACACAAACTTCTTCTAATGTCTTATGAAATCCTTTTAGTCTATCGGCAAGCTCCAATGGATTAAATTAGCTGTAAATATATAATGTACATAAGGATCTTATATATTTACTTCAAATGGCATGCATTTTGATAGTTATCATTAGCCCTTTAGTTGACTTCGGGCTTCACAGAAAGGAGGAACATTAAAGTGAGAAAAATTCGACAGGGGGAAAGAAGAGAGATTCACAGATGTAACAGAGAGACAGACAGAAGCAAAGGCAGAGAAAAGGCTAGATGAGTACTGTGAAGGGGTCGAATATGACATACAGTGGGGTTATGGAAGTTTGAAGTCAGAGGTCAACTGCCAGTTAATAGATTTTTTGCTGTATGAGTATACGTTGCCCAGGGTGCACCGCGTGGAGGTAAGTCTATCGCCCACCCCTCTTAAGGATCATATAAAAATAGACAAGTTAATTTATTGAATTAATAGACAAACCTGTTGACATAAGTTAAGATGTTTGAGGAGAATATTGAGAGTCTGTTGCTACACACTCAACTCAACTTATTTTACGTTTAAAGTTGCTTTTCGATATTCATCAATACCTTTATAATTAATTAAGTCGCTATAGCTTACCCATGACATAGTTGTAAAAATTAGGCCAAGGGTATTTTAAATAATTAATACAAATTATTTGGACCCGGTTCGAATCCATTTATGCTTACAATAAAATATTAATGCAACTAATCTGACTTAGATAGAATCATAAATTTTCTTATACATTATTAAGTAAACTAAATTATTTCTAAAAGTGTAGTTAAAATACTTCCAAATATTTAGACAAATATATTAATGAAATGAAGATTTTTTTCTCAAACAAACATAAATGAAGCTATGCTTCGCACTTACAATTGTTCCTCAGATACTTTAAACTGGCGAGTATGATTATTTTTAAATTCAAGCTTTAGAACGGGTTTAAATTAAAATTATATCAAGAAATTATTGAGAAACTAGCACTTTTTCTATAGGTAGTGGTAGATACGTAAAGGCAAACGCAATCATAATAATGAACATTATTGCCAGTTAAAATTTGACTTATTTTAAAATAATTAGTTTTGATTGTAAAACAAATAATGTCCATTAATTAATTGGATTCATTCGTTTAAAATAAGTAATATATACGCATATAAACTTGAACCCATACCGCTTATTACAACTGATGTCAAGGCTGGATTACTAGTCTGGTCGCGATGGAGTTTCCAAATTTAGGGGAGCAATGTTCAGCAAGTTTTTGTAGGACCTTAGGTAAATTTTAGTAAAAAGAACGAATTTTTCATTTATTCTAATATCTGAAATGTTTATTTGTTACGTTGTTCACCTTCACTATATTTAATATAATATGTTGCAAAAATCTTATTTTAATTTATATTTTCGAAAATACTCTTTATCTTTTCTTACCAGCTACTAATTTTTCTCCGGTTTATTCTTGTCTATCTAATTGTTATGGTTCTAATGATCTGTTTAAGTAGCTTGTTTGTTATTTTTTCGATACGTAATGAGTATGCTACTTTGTCACCTTGCCAACCCTGTTTTTTACCTATCCTTAGATTTTCTTCCTGTGCGTTGCTCTGGATGTCAGAAAGTATTTTGCAAGGATCACTACAAATTTGAAAGCCATTCGTGCCCTGTTGGCAATCCTAATAACCGCCAAGTTCCTGTTTGTCCCCTTTGTGGCACTCCCGTTCCTATAGGTCCCAACGAATCTGCGGATGTTAAAGTTGGTCAGCATATTGATGAATCCTGTCAGTCTCAACCGTCTCGTGCTCTCAAGGGAAAAGTAATTTCATTTACTCGTGCTTTATTTATTTTCCGCACTTTTACAATCTTCGCGTACCTTATTTTACCGAGATTAGATCGACAAGTTCCTTTATTATAGCTTGGATTGTCCCGTAAATAAAATTTTCACCTTTTTTTTATTATTTACAATCAGTAGGCGTTCGCTATGCTCCCATTTTTTAAGGAATATAAATTTTTTAGCTTTTCTTGTGATAGGGACTTCAAGTTCTTCCTTAGTAACTAATCTCTTGGTATTAAATATTTCATGTGACCCTTGTTTTCCAAGCGTGTGCCACTTTATTCGAATCACGTTTATATTTTTTTAATAATAACTGAATTGTTCTAGGTTTAAAATATTTTTGCTGTCTACTATAACGCTAGTGCATGCACTTCGTTTCCAAATTTTGTATGTGTACATCTTGACGGCCTAGTTCCATCAACATTTTTCACCCTTTGAGCCTAGTTTTCTTCCATCGGCTATATTTTGAAATTTTAACTTTCAACCAGTTATGCAATTTTTAGGACCGGAAATTTGTCATTTTTCTTTTTATTCTTAGCAAGCATGAACTATGCAATATTTTTTCCATGGAATTTTCATTGACTAATTTTAATGATTGGATTCTTTTACATTCTCTTAAGCATATCTTAAGCCTTGGTGATATTAGCTTGCATGGAAATTGTTGCAAAGGCCACTATTCCCTCATCTTAATCCTCCTAGATTTTTTATTACTACGTCACGGAGTATGAGCCGTCAATTTCACGGTAGCTGAATACGTCTGCTGGTCCTTAACAAGAACGGGTCTATAGGTTAGGAGTTAATTACTGATCTAGACTGAGGTCAATTAATGAATCCAAGCGGAGTAAAATGAGTGTGGGTGTTTATTGATTTTGAGATTGATGCTATTAAAAAATCCTCCTCTCTTTCAGATATTCAACAACGCCTGTTCAGTTCCGGGTTGCAAGAAGAAGGAACTCGTTCCTATTAGATGCAGTCGTTGCCAACTGAATTACTGTCTCAATCACAGAAACGAAATGGATCACAACTGCCAGGGCAGAAGGATGTCCAAACGTATGAATTTTGCCGGAGCTGCTGCTGTGAGGCGAGCCGTTGCTATGGTATCTATTGGATTTATTCATTGTGTAAATTTGTGGACGCCGCAGAATTCTAGCATTTTGTGTTTTCTTTTAGCAGCAATCCAACTCCAAAACCGACAACAACAACAACAGCGCCACACTGAGCAAAGCTCAACAAGAACTGGAAGACAGGGATTTGGCCCTAGCCCTCGCTTTGTCCCTGGAAACTGAAGAAAATAGTCGAAGACAGCGTCAACAATTCCCCCCTTCCTCTGAGAGTAGTTGCAATGTCAGTTGAGCTCCGTTTGACTCAACTCTCGACTCGCACTGCAATGCCGATTTCTTTCACATATTCTCTATTCCCATTCCCATTTTCGTTTCTTTTTTTAAGCTTAATTATAAGTATATATTTCTCCTCTTGCTACCCACCTATTCTGTTATGATATTCCAATATTTCTTTTCCGATAAAGCATTTAATCAGAGATTTCTGTTAAATGTACCTACCTAGTGCTTTTGATTTTATGATAAATAAATTCTTATGCCGTTACGAAATTACTATTTTATATGCACGTAAAAAGAGGGGTATTTTTACAAGAGAGAAGAGGAAGGAGCTTTTCATTTCTGCGGATCATCATGCTTAAGTCCACCGTAAAGTGGTATAGTGCGTTTTGAGCTGCCTGCAGCCATCACCGCCTCGAACTCACGATCAGGCTTAATGGGGTTTCGACCTGCTTGAAGGAGTTGTCGAACAAAGACATCCCTTGGAACTAAAATGAATTGTAAATGGGATTTAAATCGACGGATTAACTCATTAATAGGCAAAGAAATAGGCGTGTACTCACCAGTGGTATAAGTAATATTCCTAAATTGTTTTCTCGAAATAAGCCTAAAAAGTAGGAAATTTCTAGAAGTCACGAGTAAATGAGTGGGTGGCAGTTCCACCATTTGCACTTTAGTACATCAAAATTGTGCTACTGAAATAGTTGTAAGTAGCACTATTAGACAACCCAAAACGTCGAAACGTAAAATGCTATCTAAATACTCTTAAGTAGAAATTAAGTCTTATTTTCGACGCCACAACTAAAAAATTACAAGCACATTCTAATAACCCACTCTGGGATAGGAAGAACATTTGGTGCCACCTTAGACTTGCATGCAGCAATGCGCTTGACTTCAGTTAAATTTGAGAGTGAACTCCCAGGTGTCGGATTGCCATGCAAAAGTAAATCCTTTGCCTTCTGAAGTAACTTTGTTAGTCGATGACTGGCATACATCGTGGCCTCCAATTTCTTTTTAAAATTCTCCAGTAGCGCACCATGATCCACTGAAATGTCGGCATAGAGTTCTAGAAGGAAGCTTAGTTCCACAACCGTAGCCACGGTTGTGCTGCATAGCAGGCCATTAGAAGTCGAATCCACCGGTATGCTGGAAATGCAAATAAATATACTCAACTACTTAATTTTGTACAGTAGCATAAGCTTTAGAAATGCGAACGTACGGAAGAGAAGTAATGGTCCTGATTATATTATCAATAGCAGCTTCACAAGCAGTAATCTCAGCCATCTCAATAATATCCTTTGGTAAATGTTCAAACAGAGGAGCTGCAGTCTTATTTCCACAAAGGAGTGAAGATTCATTTCTCAAGGGCCAATATCGCGTGGCTCTTTCAACAACCTGATGTGCTATTTAGGGGAAATAAGAATTAACAAAACAAACCTCTAACTTTTGGAATTTCGGAATAAGTGGTACTAGCCGAGGCAGGTGCAAGACGCGAGGGAATTAGAAATTCATTGATGAACTGGGAAATGCGGAAATCTGCATCTTTGCCCACGTCCACTTTATTTTTCTCAGGGAAGAGAGGTAAGTTAGGAGGGGAAGATAGCGGTACAGAGGTTGCAAGAATATGGAGGTACATGAGATTGCCGTGACAGAGAAGAAGGAAAACCTCTGATAGGACATCTTTGGACTTCACCTTTTGTCCAAGCAGAACAGACTTGCCTATGTGGAATCATTACATTGCAGTTTATCAGGCGAGCATAGACATGTACTCCGAGGAAAACGAGTGCTTACCACTTAATATGAACTGAGATAAGCAAACAGAAGATCTATTAGCCACGGCTGCCATTGTTACCCTGAATGCCCCAATACTATAGCGGAGGTATTCTAAAATGGAATAGTGAAAACGGAGTAAAAGAGAAAATGCCGAAATAACACTCGATGCCTATTAAGGAGTTTAAAGAGAAAAAAAACCATCCAACGTTTTATAAGATTTTAAGTGTGAAGATGGTGTAGCAAAGACAGACATCAAAAGTTCGATGCTCATCTGCGTACATCTAATAGATAATAAGAGGGAAGTGGGAAAAGAAAAATGTGGTAGAATAAGACAGGCACTGGGGAAATCGCTTGCATTGAGACTTATCTTTAAACAAATTCTTTTAGGGAAAATCAATAAAGGAGTGATTAAGTTAGAGCAGGATCAGTACCAACCAAAAGATTGATATTCATTTCAACAATTTAAACCAACAAACATGTGAGTTGATTAGAAAAAAAACTACCACAAACTACTATTATCATTACTTTACGTAGACAAATTTATAAATAGACTTACCGAATTCTTTGGTGGAAGCTATATACGCAAAAGGGGTAAATTATCGTATGGTAGGGAACAAAGTGCCCCACTAAATTTCGCCAATAGTTAGTGTTAAGGGGAAAGTTTACTGTAATACACGATGGACAAAGTGAATTTGCCCTGAGCCAGTGGTACAGAAGTTGATGAGCAAAGTGGGAGATCGGTACTCACCAGTTTCGCAAGCGACAACGCCAATAAGAGCGAATTCAATTAGTCCAAACTAGGACAGTGAAATGCAAGTTTCCATATCAGAGAGGCTCAACATGGGTTTTTTAGAGGACAACTTGCTTCGTTGTGATGGAGTTTCTTTTACCACCCCTTAAATATCCATTGGGAAAAAAATGATGAGTGAAATTAAGTCCGACCAATAAGTCATTAGAAAGCAATATTTTTGAGCCATTACTTTTACTAAGGCACAATCACAGATAGTAATTCTAAAAGAAGAAGGAGTAATTTCGACTATTCAATTCGGGTTTTCAGTATTCCACTCACTAAGATTAGAAAAAAATAACTTTTAGTTATTTTTTTTTTGACTTAAAATAAATAAAGTCGTGATTGGGGCTGAGATTTTTGAGAGCGACCGACAGAAGCTCAGCTTGCGGTTTTGAAGGAAGTGTGCTGGATAGTAGGAAGAAAAATCTTAACTCAACTCGATTTAGTCCAAATATAGAATAAAATGAAAATTTAAAAGGACTAGTTAAAGAATCATTAATCGGTACTAGCTAGGCTGATTTTCTAGTAGGCAAGATAACAAGGCCGACCTAACAAAAGAGAGAGAAGTGATTTGAAGTTGTTCTCTCTATTTACGGGGTTCACCCTTTCGCATGTGCATCCAGTGAAAAGTTTCTGTAAGGCAAAGTGATATGAAATACTAAGGCAAGCAAGAGAAGGGCAGATTTTAATAGCATAACTTTGGCACAAATGTAAGCTTAGATTTCACATTCATGAATGCCTTTTTTAATTATTGGTTAAAAGCGATCTAAAATGATAGTAATGTACAGACTGAGCTCAGTTCTTCTAGTTTTAGGCATTCATCACTAAACTTAAGGTAACACACGGAGGCGCATAAAAAACTGAAGAGTGCGCTGAATCATATCATGAAAGTGACGATATAGAGTAAGCCAGATCAAAGGTTCAGAGTTCGATCTCCATCGATTCAAACTCAGTAAGTGGAATGACCAACCCCAGTGATAAAGTCCGGCCAATAATATGGAAGTCAGTTTTCAAGATGTCCAGGATATGTGCAAAAATCCGATTTCCTTAAAAGGTTCAGCTGTCGAGTCCTATTAAAGCAAAATTTCCCGACAAATAAGTAATTGATAGGTCAAAGTATGCACCAAATGGCAAAGGTTCATGACAATTAAAAGTGAGGCACTAATTTTGAGAACTCCAGAGAGAATACAAGGGGAAACTGCATTGAATTTTAGTAATATGGAATTTAGCTTCAATAAAGAGAGTTAACTATCGAATTTTGATAAGGCAAAAGACATTTAAATAGCAACATTACAAGATTTACGGTCATAGGGAAATAGTTTGAGCCATTCCAGAAAAATTCGTTTTACTAAACAAACTTGTAACTTACTATTATCTGTAGGACGCGGGGCCATCCAGCTGATGCCCAGAGTTTTCGACAATCCTGAAGGCGGAGACCGGTACTTCATTTCATTATTTTCGTCTCGAAGGTAGAGCCGACTCGCCAAACCACGATCACGCAAGAAAGCATGACCCTCAGCTTCATGCAGAAGCTCCACTCCATACATAGTCGACACGGAGCCCGAATTTGCCTCTTCTTTCATAGGAATGTCCTGAACCATCGTGCTCACCAAATTTAGATTCCTTTCAGCCAACTGCATTAGAGCGTGTGCCAGGAAATTGCCACCCAACATTGCCACTCGACGATAGAAAATAGTGTGATTTCCAAATGAGTGAATCTGAATGGGATAATGAAAATGGTATATTAGCCAATACCGACTAATTTCTGACCTAACTGGATATCTTCAACCACTAAAAAATTTATATGGCTACCGTTTACGATTTGTTCCATGGTAAAGCAACTACAACTGAGAAGTATAAAGAAAATGGAAACGAATAAAATAAATGCATTATCAAGAGTTCTGCCTCATATGATTTTTGTATTTGGTTTATACAATATTTTGGTATTAATTCATACTCCGAAGTTCAAAGTTAAATAAGTTAATGCATGAGTTACCAAGAAAACTATTGATCGGATGGTAAATAGTCAGAACAAAACATTGCAAAGAATAGAGGAAAGTAGGAATACCTTATCGAAGTATAAATTGAAATATGAATATGAGGCCATAAGTATATTCATTGAGAAAATGGTGGCCTCCAAAATAAAAATAATTAAAAATGAATTAGTAGGTTCAATCGAGAGTTTGCTTTACGGATCCTCTTAGCCAAGATAAGGAAATTGCATTTTTGGCTGGTGTGACGCAATTAAAGAGAACTAATTGAAATTAAAAACAAAAAGTACAAAGAACTCTATCCACCATAAACAATCAAAGATATTATTTTCAAGTTTTTGAAAATGGTGAAAAGACCCAAACTAACCTTATCGAGTTCAACATCACGAGAGGCAGGAGTAGTAGAGATGTCAATGAAGATCCACTCGGAACCGTGTATTGGCAAATAACTATATAAAAACGTAAACAAGCAACAAAGATTAGCTTACCTCGATTCAGTCGGTGGTGCTTCAAGGGCTTCTTCAAGATGAACAACCCAGCCCGTGAGTTTTGGCTCAATGTTCGAACCAATAACTATGACACGGCCAAGGTTCTTTGGGTGCTTTTGAGTGACTTGATGCGGTGTTGGCATGTGTAGGGTATTTTTACATGAAAATAAACCCGGCATGCCCGGATAGTCAAGATCAACCGATGTAGTAGAAGTGCTTATAGAAGAAAAGGCTTCCCAAACGGACCTAATTGATTGATCTGACTCATACCAGAGGGTGAGAATTTTCTCTTCAAGATCGACTGATATAAGGGAAATCTATAAATCGATAAATTAGTGACTGCGAATCATTAACCAACAGGTTTTGATTGACCAAAGATGTCAAAGTTGATTCTACAATACTCCAAAACGGCCTCGACTGCGAATGACCAAAGATTTCGTTTAACAGTAATGCTATCGAAAGCAATTGTATCTCTCCGACTCGGACCCTTCTCAAACTTATACGCATCTTCACATGATTTATGCATATTTTGCGTTCTTAACATTACAAACACAGTTTTGTAAGACTCGTTAGATTGCATTTTTCAAGATTTTACTCAATGGATAACAGTAGAACCCTACTCAAGGTCAAACCACAGGCACTTATTATCCTTGAAAATATGCAATTACAAAAAACAAACTTCAGTTTAATAATATTTGTATTTTATTTATTAATAATTTAACTCTACATTTTTTGTTAAATTCGACTTCATTTGTATGCATTATTCGTCATTTTGAAGAACAAATTACCAATTGGATTCTAAAATGTACATCCCAAAATATATGGTTGACATAAAGATTTTCATTGTAGTGAGATAAGAATATAGCAAGGCACTCTGATATCATATATGTTATATAAATTTAAAATTTTCATTTTTACAGAAATATATGGTGTTTATTATTTTTAAACATTACACCTAAAACATATATCATGTTTTGATTAGTGAAACCAAATAATATGAATTTTAAAACAATACCAAATAAACTTAGGGAATATCGAGTTATTGCCTCAAATAAGACAAACTGTAGTTGATTATCACATCATTTGTCAATGTAGAACTAATTAGAACTTATACCTTCATACATTGCTTAGAGCAGATATGTGAGCAAGAATAATAAATGAAATATTTTAAAGATCAGTCCACATATGTGCTGCTTTATATTGAACTGCTTTCTATGTAGATGATTTGTAATAGAACAATGAAAAAGTAATATAAATTGATTAAGTACTGACACAATATATTCATTTTGAAATTTACAATTGATGTAACAAAAAATATATATGTTTGGGTAATAGCCTATCACTGGTTTAGGTCTAGGTCGTCGGGTGTTCCGGTGACTGGGGATAGCACCTCTTGCCAAGTTGTGAGTTGTTGCGAACAGGTTGGTGGTTAAATTTCGTATTATTATTCTTTTGTTGGTACCTAAATAAGTGATTTTTTAAATATATTGTATTTTAATGTTTAGAATATTTGAAGCTCATTTGTTAACACGCGTTATTTAAAACATTTTAGATTTCAACTACTTTTATCTTCCATATCACATAGTTACTGTACACAATGTTGAATTTAACAGATATTCAGAGCAAGTTGAATTTTATTAATAATCTTTCGCAGAAATTGGGCTTGCACTTATGACCTTAGGGATCGCTTTTTTTGGTCTCGGGATACTGCTCTTCTTTGATGCCGGATTGCTTGCTTTGGGAAATGTAAATGTGCACTTAACATCTAAATAGTTCAAACAGATTCTCTTTGTGTTTGGCTTGGGTCTATTTATTGGAGCAGATCGCGTTATGCGTTTCTTTTTCCAAAAGCATAAGTTGAAGGGATCAGCATTCTTTTTTGGAGGAATCATCGTTGTCCTTATTGGGTTTCCGCTAATTGGTACACTTATTGAGCTCTACGGATCATTCTGCCTTTTTGGGTACGTTGCAATTCCCCTTACCAAAACCCTTGTCCTCTTCTCATGCCTAACTGCCCTATTTCATTTTAGTGGATTGGTGCCGGTTACTATTCAATTTCTCCAAAATGTTCCGGTCATTGGTTGGATCTTGTATCTCCCGGGGATAAACCGAGTACGCCTATACTTCTATTTATTTCAGCATTTCCGAAGCAAGACTCACCAATTGAGAACTTACAATGTTTTGTTTTAGATTGCTGCTTCTTTAAGCGGACAATCCAAGTCTATGGTATGATTCGTGAAGACCTTTCAAAATTTGACTTTGGTTGTATATGGCCATCAACCTCTATAAATAACCATTTACCTTCCTATTTCTGTCTAAGACAAAATACTTTTGCTTTTGCTTTATTGCACATGTACATTCATTTTGCATTAATACAATCTGGCGTTTTTACTGTCGTACGCGCTGCTTCACCAACACTTATACCAGAGAAACTGAATGCAACTTTGATAAGTTCCAAACCGAGTTTCTGATTGTCAGTAACCTTTGACGTCTCTACCTTATCATTATTGGTATTGGTAATATCTTCCGGACAAATGGCATAGTGTCTCAGCATCGAATAGGGTGGCAGATATTCATCACTTAGTTCCCGTAGTGTTAGAGACAACCGGCGAGCAATTATGTCCTCTCGATTTATTGCGTGATACCACGTGAATCGTGCCTTTCCTGACATTATGAGCAAATCTCGACGATGAAGTGGAACTGCAATAGATGGGGGAAGACTTGCCTGTAAAATTCAAAAAGAATCATAATTCTACTTTTCAAAAAATGCCAGCAAAAGTAGTACGCTTCCAACCTTCGAGGAGTCGAAATTCCCCTCTGCAAACTTTTTGTACTCAACCCATTCCTCGTGGTAACTTGGACTTTCAGGAGGGAGAGTGAATGTCATTTTGGTCTCCGAGGCTAAGTTGAGAACGACTAAGCGTTCACCCCAAAGCCAACTATCATCTTGGTGAGGAACAATTGCAGCTCCTCGTTCAGGTAAATACTCCAAGTTGCAGAGCTCAACTGGGAAAAAATCCTTGAAGATTTTGCCATCTGTCCTCATTTGCTTGTGCAAACGCTCAACTAAATAACGACTGTAATTAGGAAGACCGGTGAAGTGCTTAAACTTAATAGTTTTTTTCTTAAAGTTCACCTTTACGCCATAATCCTATAAAAAAAGTCGTTGTCATCAATAAATGCAAAAAATTACACAAGTGCTTTTTAAATTTCATACTTGCTTTCTTCTCCCAGATTGGGATTCAACCCAAATAGATTCCTCAATTTTGTTCAAAAGATCATTCTCTTCTCTCTCAGAAATAAAGTTGTCTAACACAATTACGCCATCCAATATAAAACCATTGCTGTGATTTTCACACTGTTCTTTATCTGGACCGTCAAGAACATATGACCGAGAACATTTGTTACAAAAGGTTAAACATAAATAATTGCTGAATTCCTGAAAGCATTAACATTTATACTGCTATTACCTCGGAATTTTTATTGCATAATTTATACTCCTCACAAATCTTACAAAAGCGTACGCCCTTACAGCCACAAGTTAGAACCATCACAGCCAATTTAAACACCCCCCCGCAAGTTACTGACCTTGAGTATAACCTAATCTATTATCATATATATATTAATGAATGAAGTATTTATTTTATCTATAGCGGCGCAATTTCGACTCAGATTAGTAAATTCATTATGGACGAAGATTTAAGGAGAGCAAAAATTGCGGCGTTTCGTCTTTACTGGGAATATATAAATAAAGCTATTGAATTATTTCATTTAAATTAGTGGTGAAATTTAAAGAGAAATTTCCGATGTAGCTAACAGTAATGATACTTTGTATTTTGAAACTCGTACGGTTGACCAATCGTGAAAACTCACGTCCTTGAATATTATTAGCTGAGAAATTGGCGGTGGTTTCTTCTTTCTTTGATCGTGTCGGCTGGAATATTTTTCCATCATTACTTGGTAAATGAAGATGGCAAAGTCCGCTACATTTCTCCATACCAAAAAGCAGACACTCTTGCTTTTATCGGTATTATGTTTGGCCGGAATACTCGGTTGGTTCTTTACCATATTCAATTGACACTTGATATAGCATTTTTAACTAGGCTCTTTTCTGTTCTTCGGTTTGAGTCCATGATACACGAATTTGATCCATATTTTAACTATCGAACAACAAAATATATGACAGAAGAAGGATTTTACAAATTTCACAACTGGTTTGACGATATGGCTTGGTATCCCCTTGGTCGAATTATCGGTGGTACAATATACCCTGGGTTGATGATGACGGCCACATTAATCTATCGTATTTTCCACTTTTTTCACGTCACAATTGACATTAGAAATGTGTGTGTTTTTCTTGCTCCTGCATTTTCCTGGTACTTTGTGAATTTTCTTTCCTAACAAATTTAGCTTTACGGTGTTTGCCACTTTCCTTCTAACCAAAGAAGCCATTGATTTGCCATCTGCTGTCGTTGCCTCTGCTCTTATTTCCATAGTTCCCGGTTACACAAGTCGCTCTGTTGCCGGTTCCTATGATAACGAAGGAATTGCCATCTTTTGTATGATCCTTACGTTCTACTTCTGGGTTAAATCGATCAACACTGGATCAATAATTTTATCCGTCTTTACCGGAGTCGCATACTTTTACATGGTTTCATCTTGGGGTGGTTATGTTTTCCTCCTAAACACTATCCCTCTTCATGTACTGGCATTGATGATATCCGGTCGCTTCTCTCATCGAGTTTATGTCGCTTACTCAATTGTAAATATGCCTTTGAAAATTAATTTTACCATTTCAGTTCTATTGTGTTGGTACTCTCCTTTCAATGCAAATAAGTTTTGTCGGATTTCTTCCAGTGCTTTCCAGCGAGCACATGGGTGTAAGTTGTTCAATTTCTTTTCTCATTTTTATGTTTAGGCTCTCGGAGTATTTGGTTTGTGTCAAATTGTTGCATTTACTGATTACTTACGCAAACAAACCACGGAAGAGCGTTTCAACCAAATCATCCGGTTCGGCATTTCGACAATCGGTTTTGTATTGAGCATTGCGGCCGGTGGACTCTACTTTTCAGGAAAAATTGCTCCCTGGACTGGCCGATTTTACTCTCTTTTGGATCTTAGCTATGCCAAGAATCATCTTCCCATCATCGCCTCCGTCTCCGAACATCAACCGACTACCTGGAGTTCATATTTCTTCGATTTGCATGCTCTTGTAGTCTTCTTCCCTGTGGGGTTGTATTACTGTTTCAAAAAAATGACAGACTCAAGTATTTTCATTATCCTATATGGTGTTCTTAGTCTCTACTTTTCTGTAAGTTCCCCTCAGAAATTTGATTATCTCAATTTTCTCTCCTTCCTAATATCATTTTTACAATAACTTCTAGGGTGTAATGGTGCGTTTAATGCTTGTGCTCGCTCCCATTATGTGCATTGCCTCTGGTGTTGCAATCTCAAATGTCTTACGAACATTTGTTCCAAATATGTCTGATGAATCTAAATCATCAGTATCTAGTTCCTCTAGCTCAAACAGTTCTTCCCATCAGAAACGTTCAAACTTCACCTCAAAGTCTAGTAAAACTGATCCAACCTATCCATTTAAGAGCCAAGTGAGTGTGCCTTTAATTCTGTTGATTTATTGTGTTTATACTTACAGTTTTGTTATATTTTTTTCCTATTATAGTCTGCTTCAGCTATTGTGGCCCTAATTATAGTCGTGTTGGTGATTTACAGTCAACATTGCATTTGGGTGACTTTTAATGCCTACTCATCTCCAAGTATTGTCATGTCTGCGCAAAGAGGTAATGGAGAATCTGTACTCTTCGATGATTACCGTGAAGCTTATTATTGGCTCCGCCAAAATACTCCACCCGTAAACTATACTCTCTCTTTTAAGTTATAAATCTTTGCGTAAAATTCACCTTAAACCATTAATCTCTTTTGTAGGATGCTAAGATCATGTCTTGGTGGGATTACGGCTATCAGATTACAGCCATCGCTAATCGGACGGTTTTGGTCGATAATAACACTTGGAATAACACTCACATTGGTCGTGTTGGTCAGGCTATGGCGTCTTCAGAAGAAGATGCCTATGAAATTCTCCGGGAACTTGATGTCGACTATATCTTAGTCATCTTTGGTGGCGCATCCTCATACTCATCAGACGGTATGTTACTATTTACATTTCAGTAACATATAATATATATATCGAGATTTTTCTGATTTCTAATATCTTTCCTGCCTTGTTCTCTAGATATCAATAAGTTCCTCTGGATGGTTCGAATTGCTGGGAGCACAGAGAAGGGTCGTCATGTAAACGAAGTGGACTATTTCAGCAAAGCTGGTGAATATCGTATCGACAAAGAGGGTTCACCTATTTTCCTGAACTGTCTCCTCTATAAGATGTCCTACTATCGATTTTGGGAGAAGTACACATCGCCGAGTAACTTTACTTTTCATTTCTTGGGCTTTATTTTACGCTCTTGAGTTTGTAACTTTTCTCTTTGTTTACAGATCACCCACCGGGCTTTGACCGAGTTCGGAATGCCATGATTGGAAATAAGGATTTCGAATTGCAGACCCTGGAAGAAGCCTTCACAACGGAAAATTGGATTGTTCGTGTCTATAGCGTGAAGAAACCCCTAAATCGTGGCCATGTGTAATAATTACTTGTCTCTTCATCATCGTTACTCATCCTTTTTTTTGATAATTTTTGTTATCACTGAACCGAATGAGTTGATAGTTTTCTTTATATAACACTAATTTAAAATATAAGACTTGCAGTGTGAAAAGAATTTTGTGTTGTGGTGTGCGAACTTGTAACCGTTAGTCAACTCGAAGTTAAAGGGGGTTTTTTTAATTGACTCAAATGCTAGAGTGGATTGGTTTGTATTATTAAAATGCAAATGAAATTTATTAGTCTTTATAGCAAACTATCTGATTACTTTCCGTGGAATCTAGAATTGTTAGTTCGTCCATTTTCTCAGAGTGTTTAATTCACAATGTTATGGTTTCTCTTGTAATGTCCAAATTTTCGCTCTTTTCCCAGATGACCTTGAGATTGTTAACCATATAGCTCCGCCTCACTATGATTCGTATCAATCTAGATGAATTGAAGTGCTAGATATTGCAGTTACCACGCACGATTTAATACTTTAATATAGCCTAATGGGCCCAGGAGACAGTGAAATAGCTTGAATCCCGATACCAAATCGACTTTCATGGATGGGCCAAATTAGGCAAGATATTCTCCTATGATTAACAGGTAACAACTACCTCTAACGGGTATGAAGTTGGTGTTAAGTGCTTGCGTGGGGGGAGATATGCTTAGGGAGGGGGAAAGCGGCAGTACTTATAAAGGACAATCGTGGTGGGGTGGGGGGGGGGGGGCTGAAAAGATGGTTGACCTTTGTTTTTTTTACTGAGTAACTGACAGTTGAGGGAGGTGTGCGTTACTGGTGCTCTCTACAATGAAAGGGGTGTGGAGAGATCGAGCACTACCGCGAACCAGAGTACTCTGCTATTATAATTTTAATTCCTGTTAATGATAAAACTTCCCCGAAATGCATAGGTGAAATATATGACTAAGAAAATTACCTTAACATCTATCCAATGATCAAAGTCCGTTAAAGAAAGTGTATATATATGGCCGAAACTAACCAATGTGGATATCATTTATAGCATGTTCGGTGATGATTACGATCGTTGTAAATTTGATATTATTGCCATATAGCATAGCTTATCTACGTACATTAAAAATACAAAGAGAAGGCTCATTTGAGCGGTGGCCGATAACTTCAATACCCTAGAGGGAGGTGGGGGAGGGTGGGGGGGGGGGGGGGGGGATTGGAATAAATCGTATTATTGAGCGTCTTGGCAAAAATACAGCGGAAATGCCATTTGACAAAACAATAGGAATGTATAACGATGCAGACCATGCCCAACCATCTCTCCCTTTCTCCGAATGGAAAATCGCAGTGAATAAGAAAGTTCAAGCCAAAGTTAATGCAAAAATGAATATCACATAACGTTCACTTGACAATTTGTGTGACATAGACAGTTTCTAAGACCTTATAGAAATATTTGCCTTAACAGTTCTTCCTTGAAGCACATCTTCAATTATCTATCAAGGGTAAGCTGATATCATAAAGGCTGTTGAAAACGCTGCTCAGCAGAAGATTCTTGGATCCAATGACGGTCGACTAGTGAAGCAAAAAGTGCTTGCTGCAAGAGGTACTTTGGGAAACCTTCTCGCACAATTATAAAAGCGAGGATTAAAACTAAAAATGTTAATTAAATCCCATTTACCAAAACAGAAGCCCCTAAATCTGCACATTAACACATTAAGGCAACCTCAAGTGAATTCTGAGAAGGTATTCGACGGAAAAAACGAAATTGAAATAGTCATCCCTATTTCCGATTTTCTTAAATATTAACACGATTGAAAGATTTGTGTAAATGAGATATTATTGGATGGAGTCTCAGTGCAAACGAATGTGAGATGAGAGGGCTCCAACAGACCGTTCGGAGATAATGCTCTAATCGGTGGGCTCCTCTGTCTGCATTAGGGAGGGTGCTACGAAGTTTACGTGAGCGAGAATGATTGCCAAACTTCAAGAAATGCGGCTCACTGGATTTTCCAGGTTAAGATTATGACGGTCAGGTAGTTACTTGAGCAAATTGGCATTTGGTTTTTACCTTCAGGACATCTCACTTAAAGATGTGACCACACGTCTGAATTTTCAGGCCACGTCCCCATGGATGACCTGAGCAGTTTGAGCCGTATTTCTAAAAGTGATTCACTCAATTTACTGTATAGATCTGGTACCCTTGGCTATTTAAATTCGTGTGAATCTTATGCTCTGAAATGAGGCTATCTAACATGATTGTCAATTGTCCGTAAATGAACAACGACGGCGAAATTGTGCAACCGCCTTCTTCTACCTCATTCGGCCTGTCCCTCCACGAACTATATCGACCTAGGTCAGTGTTGCTGCTTTTCCCTTTCTACTCCTTCCTTTCCCCTCACGTTATTTCCCAATTCTTCAATACAAACTTTGTCTTTTTACTCACTAAAGGCTGTCTTTTTCTGCTATATCTATTAGGGCTATCTAGCCAACTTTAAGTAGGGTCTTAGATCAGCTATACTACCGGATTAGAAGTTTCCACGAATGCGTCACACAAGTCGAGCAAGTGGATACAGAATCAAAAAGGTGTATTTGAGAAAGCGTTGGTGAGTTTATTACATTATATATAAGACATTTCTTATAATTTACTACTCAGCTCTTTACTAATACAAAAAGATCTACTGAAGAAGTGAGTCTCAACGTTGAAGCATTTCAACAGACCGTCTGTTATTCGAATTAGGCAACCTGGAATTGGCGAATAGAAAAATAATCCCAATGAAAGTGTAAAAGCACTGCTAAGGCATTGACACCAATGCACTTAATTGCTTTCGCTCGAATTCCCCTGACGAAGGAAATCGACATTTTTGGAGGTTTTATAGTTGAAGGACTAGTCAATGTAAGGACTTCCTCAGAATTTTGATCTTTACCTTTTCGCCAATACCTTGGATAAAAGCTTCACCTATTGCTTATCGGTATTTAGTAACTTCGGAAAGTTAAGAATTAATGAAGATGATATTCAACCATGAAGCTTGGCTGCAGATTTTCCAAAGCAATTTCCAAGTGGGAGCATTATCTTGTATTTATCTCTGTGGCTGCTATCAAACATTCTTTATACAGTTGTCAAATTGGAGCGTAGGCATTACTGTGAATTATTTCAATCTCAATAAAATATGTCATCATCAAATGGATGCGAGCAGCATTGATCGATAAAAACTGACCCACCAATAAAAGTCGTTTGAATTACTCATTTTATGGGGATGAGTGTAGTCATCGATTATTAAAACTTTATTTTGAAAAACGTCAATCGCATCTTCTTTAGTAAATTTCTCACCAATCGGAAATAAGTCAAGGAAGGAAAAACATATGGCTCCAGAATTACGGTTGTCAAACCAACACATAGCTGAGGATTAGATTTATGCACATTTTAGAGGGCAAGGTGATACCGGTTCTAGATCTAGCGTCCATATTGAGTGACTCACTGTTGAAAGACACGGCACCAGTGAGGACGCGACCTAAAACTTCGGACATGTGGCCCCGACTCAAGCAGAGGCGTCCTGAATATGCGAGATCGCCACTACTGTAGTCATGGCCTAATCATCCAACAATGCGTTTCTTTACGTATCCAAAGCGATATAGATAAATGAATTTTCTGCATGATCAATCGTGTTGAGGGTTTTCTGTCTTCTTCCCACTGGCTCCGAGTGGAAACAATCTTTCACTTAAAAGAAAACGAGTCCATAAGCTGCAATGAGTGAACCCCCATAACAATTCGCAATTTACGACTTCGAATTAAATCAACACTGCAGCAAACGAGACATCTTACAAAAAGGAGCGTAAATATCTATTAAGGATTATCTTAGATACACAATTAGTAATCCTGCCAAACAAATTGGGAAGGCGCGCACATAGAAACCTCATAAACATAGAAACACAAAAAAGGAGGAGGAAGTTAGTAGGTCAGGGGATAACTAGGAAACCTTAGACCAAGCAAGAAAAAAATGTACATGCCGAGACACAGAGGAAGTAAGGGATTAAAAGATTACTGTTACTTATAGAAAGCCTTAGATATTATCATCAATCAATCAATCAAAAAAGAATGGTGATAGCGTTTTCACTGAAATATATGAAGGCATGAAGTAGATAAACTTGACAAAAGAAAACAAAGCAATAGCGAATTGTGCGGTGCAGCCTATTGAGCCTTTTGCTTCTTGTGTTTAATCCCATTGTTACCGTCATTAGGAAATTCTTTGGCATCCTCCTGCTTACCCTTCTTTTGACCCTTTTCCTTTCGCTTTTGTACATCATTGCTTGAGACATGCAAGCTGTTGGTGTGCATTTGAGACTTTCGTTCCCTCATTTTAGCGAAGTGGTAGTTTACAAAGGTCCAAATCATGTAAGCTTGAGTGAGGAAAACGAACATCATGCAATTCAGTCTGAAAAAAAACACCACTTAAGGAGATATCCAAAGCCAAAATAGATTATATACAGAACATAAGAAATAATCACCTGATTAGCCAAGTGTTATGATTTCCCACGGAAAGATTCATCGTTGGGACGCTATACTGGGGTAGGCCATAACTAAAGAAATTAGAGTAAATAACAGCAGAACTTACTAAAATGTCAAAAATGCTAGCACACAGCAAAGACTGCGCGAAATAACATATAGACCATTATAAACCGTGAAACTAGCTTGAACAATTGCGGTATAGCCATAGAATTTCATTAAAAGAGCAAAATGGAAGAAGATGTCAGTAGTATAATGCAAAACGACCATAATCATGGTTAATTTTGAGAAGCTATAGTGAAAAATCGTAAGAGAATAATAAAGACCTTACTTCATGAAATAGCCAGCAATTAAGCCAATTAAAAATAAGGAAGAATAAAAAATCCGTGATGGTATTTCACTCTTTTTGACTTTTTGAAAGTAGAGTTCTGGGAAGTTGTGAATCCAATAGCTTATCTAAGAAAAAAATGATAAAAAAGGAAGGAAAAAAACCTGGAAAATGAAAAAGGCCTTAATCCAGAATGGCAAGATGGAATGGGGGTAACCCGACCAGAGGTCCGATAGGCTAGCCAGGTAACGCTCATTTATAATGGCATATACAGCCCAATAAACCGAGAAAACGTAGAAAAATAAAAGCTGTCCAGAATGATTAAATTTTGATTGCATGAAACGCGGAAGATGAAGTCTCTTTGACAATTTCTAAAAGATATTATGCGAAAAATAAAACTTACATCTAGTATATACTCCTGAATAACAGCGTGAATGATGATACAAATCAATGTATAGAAGAAAAATGCCAGAACATCATAACGCCCAACCGTGTATTGAATATCAGATATACTTTCAACTTCTTCTATAAAACACATTAAGATTAATTTAAAATTTAGATCTCACTATCACTGCTCGCATTGTGTTGCATTGACACGAATAAGGAGGCAACTTTAGCCGGACCCTAAAATAAAGAATATAACTATTTGAGAATGCAGACAAATATTAATAATAAAAATAATTTAAGGTATTTACCTGAAAGAGCATGCTTCCAATGAAGACCATGGCGACTACACTCACAATATCTCCATGATTTGCAATGATAAATTCATGCGAGAAATACGACGGATTCTTGTTCTTTTTCTTCAACACAGGCATCGCTGATTGCGCCAATTAATGTTGAAGTGGCAATGCGTGTACAGAAAATTTAACACTTTGATTGATATTAACAAGTAAATTTTATTTAGTATATTTTGCACAATTTACAGCATATTTATTTTTAGTTAAATATTCATTCTTATTAAATACGTATTTCATTGATAATAGTTGCTAAAAAGATAGGTACTTGTAATCTAAATGATACAATTTCATTTCATCATATTTGCTAGGTTAAAACTTAAAAAAGTGTACATTACTATATTTAATCATTCAAAGGTCGAAAGATCTAAGTATGCATTTAAATAACCTCTGACTTTGCCAAATATGAAAGTATTTCCATTTATCTACCCTCCCAAATGCCTTCTTTGTACAGATTTCTTCAACAACTGCAACAATCATTCCATAAGCACCTTCATATGATAGATCAAATCCACTCCGTTCGATGACTACTGAATAATACTTCGTAAGTTGACTTGAGTGTGGTAACCTTTTTAGAGGACGGGAGAGACGGATGAAAATACTTAAAATATGCACCTTTGGTGGTATGCAAATCAAGTATGTGGATTTTTATCTTTTCTCAGATATAGTGCTTTAATTGTACTTAATATTTTAAAATAAAAAATAATGCTTCTAAATAGACACTTTTACCTAAAGTATTCTTAAAAAAGCATAGATAACTTCTAGATTTGTTTGGAAATGTGCAATTCAGCCATAATCTTGTGTAGAGGGATGGGAAACTAGATGCTTTTCACTTATTTGATTAGCTATATTTGCATGCATTGAAGATGATAAATCCATTTTCAAAGGTAAAAGAATGGAGGTTGCTATGGCTCTTCACTAATTTAAGAGTTAAAAAGGTATAGTAATTGTACGAAGCTGTAATTTAAGAGAGCAAGTTTTTATTGCAAGCTTAAAATCGACAGAGATTGACAAGTTGAAAATCAAATTATATAGGAATCTATCAAAGGGGATAATGTTCCCACACGAAAAGGTTACAAATGGCTTTACCGCTGCAAATTTAAGCAATGAGGCAAACCGTTTCGTTCAGTGGGTTTTAAACATGTTAACTCGGAGTTCTGTACTAGCGACCGAAATTTGGTAGGTATAGACATTATTCGATTATCCTGTTATAAAATACGAATGACTTCCAACAAATGTTTGTAATCTTTATATACCTCTTTATATATAACAATATGTATGGATATTTCTTAAGGTAATAAAAACCTGATCATTTTACATTTCTCCTACAAAAATTGAATTCATGTGCTATGCGTAGGATTGTAACTTAAACTTCATGATTCTTTAGCAGGAGGGTTGGGATACTTTGTTGACCTTCTGCAGGCTGGGGCAAGGTTTTCATTTAACTAACTGTTACTTTGGTTGAATTATAAGCATCTCGAACAATTCGATTAATTTCGCTCTATCCGCACGTAACTGCGCATATCTAATACTAATTTAAAGTAAATTTAGACATCAAGTGTAATTATTAAATCTTACGACATGTCATAATCTTAAAATTAAATTATTATCTCGGTCTCGGACTGAATACTTGCTGCAGTTTTTTGATCACACAACCCAACCCCTATGTTTATGCACGTGTTAGAACTTATAGTAGACCTTTTGTCTAATGATTTTACACTTGAACAATTTGGATATAAAATTCATCATAACCTCATAAATCAGAAAGAAAATCGACTAATGAACAACAATAAAAAAATGTAATGTCCGTTCTTTGTGCACTGAGAAATCATTAATTTTTCTAGGAATGTGTCATCGTCACACTGGTACACCTAACTGCTTGAACAAGTATCCAATTGATCTCTCCATCAATCACAGAGCGTAAATCGCACTGACGTAAAGCTAGATAAATTTTCCACATCCTCGATAAGATCTAGACTTTCATAGCCATGACTCAACTCCTCAATTCCCACTAGCAAAATTCCTTACAAAGGAATTGTTCACTAAATTGGCAAAGATGCCTTGACAGTATAGGGGAAATAGGGTGGGCGGAGTGAATAGCATTTTTTTCTGGTTATAGGTCACCACAAACAAATTAATCATACAAGCACAATCTTGGCTACCCAAAGCATGCATCGACTATTGATTGTTAGTTAGTTAAGGGTACCTCTGCGAAGAATAGCAAGGGCACACGTTCCAGTCTTCTCGAAATTTCTTAATTCAGCCTTCGTAGCGATGTGTGCACCACGCAGATAGTGTTATTAATTACTCAACATTTAATCTCTCATGTTCGCCTCCTCATACTTGCCAAGGATGATAAAACAAGAAGAAGTTCATTTTCTGAACAAGGTACTTATTTGAACTACATCTTTTAATTCCTTCTTCGCAATACATAATTTAATTTGTATTAACATTTTTAATAGTGTAACACTACCTATCAGGACTAAAATGTGGATTCTATTTAAGACATTTATTTTTGTTTATTTATTTCAAATGGCAGGCGTTTTGATAGTTATCATTAGCCATTTAGCTGACTTCAGGCCTCACAGAGAGGAGGAGGAACATCAAAGTGACAAAAAGTCGAGATGGGGATCAGAATAATGATTAACAGATGTGACAGAGACAGACAAAAGAGCAGAGAAAAGGTAAGATGAGTACTGTGGTGGAGGTCGAATATGGCATACAGTGGGGGTAGTTTAAAGTCAGAAGTCAACTGCCTAATAATAGACTTTTTTGCCGTATGAGTATACGTTGCCCAGGGTGCGCCACGTGGAGGTAAGTCTATCGCACACCCCCTGTTTAAGACATTTCTTATAGTCCTTGGCGCGAA